CAATACTTTCCAGCTAGCGTTCGAGCGGGCTGGCTCAACCGACTTTTCACAAGCAAGAGTTGCTCAGTGAGAGACAGAGATGGGTAGAAAACAGTCCGCAAAACTCTCCCGACGTGACCACCTGCCCAGCCTTTGCTTGGCGGATAGGACGTACGAGCGTGTGCATGATACGGAACGAGAGCACCGCACCACCGCACTTCACCCAAACCCCTGTCTTAATTCTGCATAGCAACACAGCACCACAGTTCACCTCTCCAACCCCTACACCCAAAGCAGCAACGCAGGCTACCAACGCGCAAATTTCAGCCGGTCGGTCAGTTGTCAGGCCATGCCCCCCCACATCAACTAGTCAACAATCATCTTTGTGATGGTGGCTATCAACAGGGCCGTTATCACGTTTACGGTTGCAAACTCAGTCAGTCAGGCGGCAGGCCAGCCTACTCTTTGCTCACCACCAGCTTCTCCGTCTTCTTCAGCAGCAGCACTGCCTGGATGCTGGGCAGCACACCACCCTGCGCAATGGTCACACCGCCCAACAGCTTGTCCAGCTCTTCGTCACTCCGGATAGCCAACCAATAGCAGGTGACGAGGAATGATACGCGTCTTCTTGTTGTAGCGTGCCGCGTTACTCGCCAACTCCAGCACCTCGGCAGCCAGGTACTCGAGCACAGCAGCCAAGTAGACCGGTGCTCCAGCACCCACCCACGCGCTCCGCGTAGTTGCCACGACCCACAAGGAACTGCAGACCAGCTCACGCCGACCTCGTCTTCGCTATAGCCCGCGATTTACATCCTTTGCCTCTGCCGCCCATTGTCCTCTTTGCCAAGCAAGCCACCAACCGATTCAAGCGTGATAGCACCACGTCACTCACTGCCCCCCTCTTATAGCCACCTTTCGTCACACTGAGGCACACTTCTTATTGGCTAGGCAGAAGTCTAATCACTTTGCACATCTCATTGACTCGTCACCGCTATCGTCGCCTGCTATTGGCTCTGCCAGTTTCCTCCTCATCCCTCGTGTCGATAACTGCATCTGACTTGACTGCATTTCGCCTGGAAGAAGCCTCGATGTTTTCGCCTTCGACTCAAGCCAAGCTCATCTATCCTCACCTCAAATTAGTTGCACATTGCTGATGCCATTGGTGTTGTAACATAACAATCAACAAATCCGTGCTCCTACAAACACCACTAACTCACTCACTCATTTGCACACGCGTACACCAGCAGACTGTCTAGCTATCGCTTCGACCTCTTCCTAAATACCCAGTAAATAGTAGCTAGTTCCCTCGGTATACATATGCAAGTTCGCTGTATTATTATTGGTTTTGGTTCATTATTAAATCATTAATTAGCATGTTAGCATGCCACCATGTCTTAGTTTTCATTATTTTTTCATCTATATAAGTAGTCATTTGAGTATGGTAGAATACGACCTTGCATTTATAAAAAAAATATTCTGCGTAGCCTGGCAAATTAATTTGGAAGATTTTAAAGTCGTAGCACAGGACCAGTTTCTTTATTGTATTATAACTTAGTTTGCATGCATTCACGACAATAATGTATCACTTTTCAATTAGTTTATCACATGCAACTATTTTGTTTTGCAAAACTCTCTCCAATTTGTAAGCAATTGAACTGTAACAAGAGCGCATTCCTTGATTTTCGCTATTGTGTGGATAATTTTCCACCATAAAAAGTTAATAAGTTTGTTGCATACCCAGTCAGTCAATCATTAAACTACTCATTCAATCAGTTGCGGACATTGAATGATTCAACAATTATATTGTCGATCATAAATATTTTACTTTAGGTCAACTTAGATAGCTCTTCTCACATAAGCCTAAGAAGACTTCGAAGATAATTTTTTCTATTATAAGTGCTTTGTTTACTTATTTAGCTTTAAACTTTAATTACGTGGGAATTTGAAGAACTACTTTTGTAATTCCACTGGATGACCTGGCCTCTGAGCCATGCCAGTAGCCCTTTGCCCTCCCTAAGTCAAACATGGATTTTCTAACTTGAAATGCCAAGATTTGTACATTTGAGGCATTTAAATGTAGCAGCTGAGCGAATGAGTAGTTGAATGATGAACTGACGTACCGGAATTTGCAGGGGTTAATCCTTAAGCACGAAGGAAATTGGGCAGAGAGTGTCAGAAACACAAGGGGATTCGCAAAATGATTATAAAGCCCAAAGTGAGGAGAAAGCTTTACCATTCCGACAATTCGTCACTTAATTATGTCAATTATATCACAAGTATTTGGAAAATTTTTTTATTACTGCAAATAACTTTCACGTATGCCCTATATGAAGTGCGTTTGCAGTGTGTTTTCAGAATTTGCCCTTTTCTTTTTGAAGGATTGCAGGCAGGATTTCGTTGACAGAATTCATTAGAAAAGGCATGCTAGCGTACCACGCTGGGAGTTCGTGAAGACCAGAAATAATATAACTCCTTTGCACAATATACTATTGTTGCCGTACCGAGAGAACTAAGAGACTGCTGGTACAGCCCATGACATGGCTATTCGGAGAAGGTAAAATGATGCAATTCCAGGTGACCACTATTAAAAGAGAGAGCAAAAGAGGCAACTGAGTTATTTCTCTAGCTACCATAAAATTCCGTTTAAAGTTATGATGCGCGAAGTTAAAAGTGGCCAACGCATTACCAAATGTAGGTTTGCCCAAAGTTGGACTTAATCAACGAATTAAGCTTCATGGTACCTGGATGCATTTCAAAGGATTCCTATAGGAAGTGAAGTAATAAATAAACTTATTTCATCTGCTGCCGATCGGTAATTTCTCGGACAGTAAACAACAGATATATTTTGTTGACTGCAATAAGATATTGAAAAATGCGGCTTTCAATAGACCAAATGTAGTCTTAGCATCCAGTGTGAATGGCTTTGCAACTATTGATGTTGCACAAATTAGTGGATTCCTCGCGTCTAGGATGTGTTCCCTAATAGGTTTAGCCAATCACCTTGTAAAGAGGCAGAAGCCAATAGTAGAAGCTATTCTCTACCTCACCGTTTAGGTAAGCCGCGTTAAAAGACCACAAATTGGACAGCGGTGGAGTAGTCATGGTTCCCTGAGATAGACGAGAGCTCAGAATACACTACCCTGGACCTGTATTCACCCTAGTAGGGATTACCAATACACATGCTCTTACCGATTTCGTCTTCT